CTATTCTTGGAGGAATGTGCTATTCTGACAGAACCGTGCTATTCTTGGAGGAATGTGCTATTCTGACAGAAATGCGCTAATCTGACAGAAACGTGCTATTCAGAAAAAAAAACAAACACAAGTGCTATTCTTGCAGGAAGTGCGCTAGTCTGGCAGATTGCTTCTGGACTTACTTAGGTCATGGAGCTAGGAATTACCAATGTCCGTGTTCACTTCGTTTTTGAGACGAGTATGTGCGAGCATCAGTGAATTCACAATCGCTATGCTGACCTGTGAGGGGGGGGCATACTTGCACTATGATTTTTTTTGACTCAGCTCTGGTCGTCATTGTGTGTGGTTAGATACATCGATGGTGGGCGATGACCGCGTCCAGATACATTTGGGAAGTGCACTCAGTGACTAAGCTCTGGCCGTCATTGTGGTTAAATACATCGACGGTGGGCCATAACTGCGGCCAGATACATCCAGGAAGTGTGCTCACTGAGGAGTCTGGAAATGGCTGCGATCAATTCGGGAATTCGTTCAGCCAGTCGTTTTGAAGCACTTAAGGGCATACTCGCCGTGGTCCCTTTCGGAACTGAATTTGTATGCAATTGCGGCCAGATGCATTCGGAAAAGTCCTCATGAAATCTGGCATAAGATACAGAGAATCTGGCTTCTTGGAAAACGATTCGAATCTGGGTCCAATTGCGGCCAGATGCATTCAGAAAAGTCCTAGCGGTTTAACTTGTGCATGCGGAATTGCTGCACAGCTGGTTCATTTGCTGCTGTCGAATAGCCATTGATGTATAGCCAGTGTATAGCTGGTGTATAGCTAGCTGGTTAGCTTCTATACAGCCAGTATATAGCTCATATATAGCCGTTATGAAGTTCATCTATAGCCGGTGTATAGCCAGTGCATAGCTGGTATGTAACCAGTGTATGGCTGGTGTATCGCTGGTCTATAGTCGATATGTAACCGGTTTACAGTGGGTCTATAGCTGCTATATAGCCTGTCTATAGCAGAGATATCGCCCGTGTATAACTGTTGTATAGCCGGTCTATCGCCAGTGTATAGGCAGTGTTTAGTCGGCTATAGCCGTTGTATAGCTGGTCTATAGCCAGAATATGGCTGGTACATAGCTGGATTTTAATGGCACTGGCTATCTTGTCACTGGCATGATTATCTGAGCCGAGTCACCTCGTCTTTCGGCAGAGTCAGCCTATAGCATGTGTTCTTTCAGTCCGCAAGGAGGGTACAGCTGTGATCATACCAGAATTGTGTTGGCCTTTCAACGAGGGCAAGGGCCGCTTCAAGGATCGTACCAGATCGGTTGAGATTGGCTTTAGGGAAGACTCTGCCGCCATTCAGTGCATAGATGGATGCTATACTCTTTTGCTATTGATGGATGCTCATGGCCGTGGATTACTATCGAGTGTTAAAGATGGCTATTGACCGGAGGGGGATGTAGAGATATCTGAAGCCAATGAAGGCATTGATGGCATTTATGCTGTTTCAGTATCGATCACTTATGATGGCGATTGGTGGCGATTGACGGTGATTGACGGTGATTGACGAGGATTGACGAGGATTGAGGGCAATCCAGGGCAGCTGATGGCTATTAATGGCTATTAATGGTTATCGATGGCTAGTGATGGCTATTGACGGCGATTGACAGATATTGTTGACATCTATTAACAGCCATTAACAGCTATTGATGGCTGTTGATGACAGCTGATCGGTGTTGATGTCTATTGATGGCTATTAATGGCTATGGATGGCTATTATTCATGTCTCTTGATGACTATTATTGATGGCTATTGAGGGCTAGTCACAGCGATTGACTGTTACTGACTGCTACTGACGGCTATTGAGGGCGATTGATGGCTATTAATGACTGTTAATGGCTATTGATGGCTATTGATGATGGGGTTTGATAGCTATTGACAGCTATTGACAGCTGTTCACAGCTATCGATGGCTATTGATGGTTAAGACTCGGGAATTCTGCGGAGTTTGGAAACATCGGAGCCTGTTACGTTCAGAGACCTCACAAGCGGAGGGAGACCATCGATGTTTGTGAGGTCCATCTCTTGGCTTTTTGTTTTGTTGTTGTTTGCTTTTTTCCGATGAATTGGCCTAGTCTAATTTTGAATTTTGCGCAGTGTTTTGCAGATTGCTGTGGAGATGATGACCCTTTTTTTTTTCTGTCGTTTTGGAGCTGACGAGTTTTGAGAACCAGGTTTGTATTTTTTAATTTTTTTTCAATTTTTTTGTATCATAAAATTCATTGCGAGGTTTGATTGCTTGTTGCTAAATTTGATATCCTCCGTGTCGTGATGTGTGCTTTACTCTTTTTTTTTTTTTTTTTTTTTTTTTTT